TTCTGATGCCTTTTTTTTAGAACCATATTATACAATGACAGAACTGAAAAATATTTTGCTGAAACGACTTACCTTTAATAACTCAGAGAGAATGCTTTAAAAACAGACAGATTGCATCTTTCAAGTAATTTTTAGCATCTTATATCAGCATTCAGCACTGAGAGCATTACAAAAGCAGTCTATTTCTTAGAGAATGAAAATCTTTTCCTCTGAGATTTACATAAAGTTGAACAAATTTCCAAATCCAACACGTTCTGTAATGGAATAAAACAGAATGGTACCCCATTCAGCTTGCCTGTTATCTGCTGAAAGTTTCTGTATAGCAGTAATTTAGTCAGCTACAGTTGTATCGGTTGTAAAAGTTGCCATTTCACAATTCCTATCCATTGATTGTCTCGCTAATAAAAGAGGACCTCATGAAAAAGACCTACTGCTTTACACTTTGCTTAATCTCAGTTAATAAGAACTATGGACTGTATTTTGAGGCTGTGTATTTTAGCTAAAGAATATTTGTTCCTTGGTTACTTGTCAGCTATAATAATGAGATCTGAAGGCTATTCAGACTAACTCTGAAAGAGAGGAAGCTGTTTTAACCCTCAGCTGTCACTCTGTCACCCTGATCGCTCCTGTATGCGACTCCACTGTAGCCTCTGTGGTTGAATAACCCCCTGCGAGGTCAACTCAAGCTGGAATTCTATTAGCATTCATTTAAAAGTAGGGCACAGTGCTTCTCTCCGACAGTGTTAAACTTACACTGTAGTCATCTTTACCGTATTTTCCAAAAGTATTTGTACTCCTTAAGCCTTCTTCACTTTCTTTTTAAGTCTTAGTATAAACCTTAGTGTTTTATTGGAACATTATGCAATAGAACAGGGCTTTTCAAATTAAGGGCATGCTTCCCATAGGGGGCACCAGAGTCTTCAAGGAGGGGGCTGTGCATTACATGAGGAAAATAAAAAAAGCCAAAAAAGTAGCTGCTGGCATTAAAGAGGACCAAATACTTGGTGCTTGTGGATGGTTGAGATTTCAAAGACGTACCCACATGGATACTTTCAAGTTTGAGCTGGTTGGGTGCCGGCGGTATCCACCGCACACTTGTTAGTATGGTACAAAGTAGCAGTCTGACAGAAGTGCATCCTTGTGACTGGTTGCACCGACTCTCAATCTTATGTGAATACTGTTTCCTGCCAAGCAGTCGTACAAGTTCGTTGTCATAAAAATTAATCTTTACGTGAACATGTCCAGTGCCGCAAACTCATGCTTCAACTATGTGCAAACCTCCATGGAGTAAAGTTTTTCAAAGTGTGTGGGGGGCCTTTACTGAACCTGTCAGACACCAAATGGAAAAAAAATATATTTAGTGCATAAACCTATGCAAGTAAATAGACAGACTCTGCACCAAACAAAATTTTAAAGAAGAATTATTTTGAACAATAATTATTTAAAGTATTTGGGTGACAGTCGTCTATTTGCTCCCTGAGGAGGTCAAGGTCACGCATACTTTGAAAATAATTATAAGTGACTTGACAAGGATATTTGTTTTTCAATTCAATAAAACATTACAAAAGCCAAGAGACTTCTGTTCATGGGAGGTGCTGCAGAGATCCACGGCTCAGGTGGGAGAACATGTTTATAATGTAACTATTATTAATACACTTGACAAATAAGTCCCTTCTGGGAGAGTGGTAAATAATCCAGCCATGAGAAGTCCAGTTTGTAAATCACCACAAACTCACTCATGCATATTTTTTCCTTCACTTCAGTTGTACAGTTCTTTATCTTGGGTAATTAAAATAAATCCCAATAAAGTATGACGGTTTTGTTGTGACCAAAGATGGAAAGTCCCAAAGGTTTAGAATACTTTTCTAAATGAATGTGTGCTTGGGAAACAGATTCAAAGAAACTCACACCGGCTATCGGATCACATGCAATCCTTCTTTGTCTTTCTTGAAAACCCAGAAACAACAGTCTGCACATCCGTTACGGCGCTGTGCATGTGTTCATTCAAACACATGCACGCGCAGTGGGAGAAGGGGCTTCATTGTGCAGGCCTGCTGTGATGACTGACTGTAGCGTGTGCTGGGCAACAGCTGCTGTGTGCCCCTTCCTCAACCCGTCCCCCTCATCTCCACTGCTGACCCAGGCCATATCTAAGCATCACAAAACTCAAAGAAACATAAACCCTTAATATCTAAGGCACACTCATTCCCCCATAATGCTGTGCTATTTCAGGGTTCACCTCTTTGCTGCCTTTATTCTCTTCGGTAGGGTTCTCCTTCCTTTCAGTTTGCCAGGTCAAACTGTTCTGTCTGTGTTTACATACAGCTCCATAAGGACCGTGAAGACCCCCTGTCCTCACTACTCCCTGACAGCTGTCTCCACACTGTAACCCTTTCCTCTAGCTGGGCCTCTGTGAAAGTTATACTCTTAAGTTTCGTCAGACTTGTGCATGCTTTCGGAAAGGATCTGACGACTTTCTTCTAGGTGGAGGTAATGAAACTCAAGCAGATGCAAGCTGCTACTAAAGCTAAGTGCTCTCACATTGGATTGAGGCTTTGAGCTGTGCGCGCCCACGCACGCCGAGCTGCCGCTTCCCTTACTCAGTCGAGTTTCGCTCTTGGTGGGCTTGTTTGTCATCAGTTGCCGCTTCTGCTGCTGATGTGACCCCCGTCTGCAGCTCATTACAGCGCGCCACCTGTTTGTCCTGAAGCTAGGCAAGACACGCACACAAATGGAGTTTGTTGAAGTGACAGGGGGTTAATATAACAGGAGTCTGCACTATGGAAGTGCCACATGGACTGTCAAATCCCGACGGTGTCAATGGTTTCCTTTGTCCTGTGGGACCGTCTCTCAGTTGCCGCAGGGTTCGGGGCAGACAGGTGGATGGGTGATGTTGAAGTTTTTGGATGATTGTGGAGACAAAACAAGGAATACTATACAGCCTGGATCTCGTATGGTTCTCACTTTTTGGATCCAGCTGACAGGTATAACAGCCCTCAACTTTTTTAGCGACACTGCAATGGCAGACACATGTTACAAATTGCACTGTCAGCTGTTTTTAAACTTGATGCATTACATAGAAGTCCTTGCAAAAGTATTTACACGCCACAAGCCTTCTCTCATTTTGTAAAATCATGTCAATGTATTTAATCCAGCCTTACTAAACTAGTAAGCCTTACTTTTCTAACAAAATTTCCTTCTTCTTTTCCAAACTCAGTGGTATATTATTTCTATATTTTCTGAACTTAACTCTATGTGAAATTAAACAGAAAATAATTTGTCCAACTGTGCATTTATCCAACATGGCACTGAATAAAATTCAGTTATGTTGGAGAAAGCTAATTTTCAACAATCAACAAAGTTTCACCGATCAGTGAATCCTGAGTTCTCTATAGGAACTGTAAGAACATAGAAAAACACCATCTATATTTCTGTTTTGTCTTCTTGTGAGCATTCATTCATTATTTATGTTAGGAGAAGTCACACCATGTATGAGAAGCTACTTGCTATAAAACTAAATTTTACTCATATTTTTGAAAACAGAGTGCATCACTCTTCATAAGCAAGTTATCACAGTTTACATGGCAGCATTGAAAATCTGGAATGCCCATGTGTACATTATACTTAGTACTACTGTATGTTTCAAAGCACTCACTGAGGGATGGGAGTATGTTGTGTAGCAGCTGAAAATAGGCTGTGGATCACACAGCTGACTCACATTCTCAGTGTTTCGCTACCTGAGGTGATGTGTGCTTGATATTTTTCTCCTGTTGTTTTCACATACAGTACAGTGTGGAAACTCAACTGTATTTTCATTCAAGTAAAAATGTCTGTCCTTTAAAGTAATAGGACCACACAGATTATTGTTCATTAGGTGACTGCAGACTGGTTGTCCTGTTTGGATTAGTGGTTCATGGTTGACATGAAATGTTTCTTTAGCTCTGAACCACTCAAATTTATTACTGTTGACATTTTGTTTGCTATGTAGCTAAGTTACACTTTTAAAAAAAAAAAAAGGTTCAGCTCTTGGCACATTTCTTCCAATCAAGTTTCTACATCTGTCATCGCTCGACCATGTGTGGGCGTATTTGCACAGGATCTGTCGAGGTGGACTGTCGCCCCTGGGGCAAACAGACATCCACTGATGGCAGAGAAACCTCCTTTTTCAGCTAAATTATCCCAGCTGCTTACAGATGTTTTCATGGTTTGAGTTAAGTACAATTGACATCATCCAAAAAAAAATCATATCACAGACTTCCTTGCCCCAGGTTATTGGTAATCATTGTTTTATTTTTTTTATAGTTGTTTAGAAATTTGCTGTCTGATAAAATATGTTGTGTTGAATTGACCACAAATGGTTCTTTTTTATGTTGTCACGCAGAATGTTTGGTCAGATAAGAGGAAGTCTGAGCTTTCTAGCAACAAAGTCCCAGTGAGGTTTAGTAAGACATACATGTTTAAGTTTATGATGTTGGACCTCTTTATCCTGACATCCATCCCAATCAAATAGTTTACATTTAGACAGTGTGTGTTGAGAATGGATAATACCAAGATCCAATTCATGCTACATTATTGTTTATTAGTCTATTTTTTATACCTCTATTGTCATCTGTTTCACTTTATGTGGTGACAAAATAAATGTGGATTCAGCCCAGAGGCTTCCATTCCCATTTTTTGCTATTTTTTATCAACCTTAAAAAATGCTTCGCTTTCATTTATTCAGTCATATAAATTGTTTGGGTTTTCAGCCATTATGTTACCAGGGATTTTATATATTCCTAAACATGAATTTTTCATCCTCTGAATAAATGTACTTCTATTTACAGGCTAATTAAAGATTTGTTTTGTTAACCTGTTAGAGGTTATTTTAAGGTTTTCTATACCTTCTTTTTTAATAGATGTTCGGGGCATTGTTATGCCTTATCAAAATAAATTTAATTGATTTTATTTGGAGTGAAAAGTGAATACTTTATCTCAAAGACGTCCTGTTTTATTCACAGGTTACCCAGGTTCCTATTGAATCCTGTGAGCAGTATGGGACCTGTGGAGAGTGTCTGAGCTCTGGAGATCCCCACTGTGGCTGGTGTGTCCTGCATAATATGTAAGTATCCGCCAGTCACCGTGATATTTGTAAAGAAATTCTTGTTCCTGGAATATTTAGTTTGACGTCTCTATTTAAGTGTTCTGAAGTTTTCCCTCACATAGAGCATAAAGGTTATTGTCTTTAACATTTATTTTCAGATAAATGGTTTCAGATTTAATGGAGCTTGAGAAAAGCAGACAGCTCCTGCCTGGAAATAGACAGCTGCTGCCTCAGAGGTGCAGAGCTGGTTTAAAACTACTTGTAGCAGCTATAGAGGTTTGCGCTGCTCTGACATGGCTTGATTTTTTTTTTAACTCATTCACTTTATAACAATTTCAGTTTCTAAAAACAAGTTGTAAAGTACTTATTGAGATGTCCACTTTAACAACTTGTCAGTTTGGGGTCTATACTTCCTTCTTCAAGAATAAGCATAACAGCCATGAGTGACACCTGCTGGAGCTGAAGAATTACTACAAGAAAACTAATCTTAGGCATCCATAAAGAATGCAAAAGAAAAAAAAAGAAAAAGCTATATTAGCCAAAAACATGTTTGATATGCAGATGAAAAATACTACTGATGCATTTTTATATTTACATTTAGATTATGAAATCATAAAGAAAGGGACAGAAAACAAATTTAACACAGCAGTAAAACAGTCATTGTTTATGTTCCTCTTTGTCTCAAGCATGCAGAAATTATCTTAGCTGCTCCGTCTTAAATCCATTGCTTACACCCCACCCTCCCACTCCTACCCAGGTATTGCTGGATATTTGCGTGTGTCACAGTGGCGCTGCAATTATCATTATCGTGATGGCGGGCCTGGCAAAGTGCACTTAAAGTAATTTACACCACTCTGAAGCCGGGACAAGACAAATAATTGGCTGCCGACAAGGTAATTCAGCTTGAGCCTGCAAAGGAACGGGTGAGGCTGACTGAAGTGCTGTATTCCCCTCAGCACTGCGTGGCTTCACACAGAGATCATTTACCACAACACGACCTTCCAGGCGAGGTTGTTAATCACATGCTTTTGTGGAGGTGTGGTAGGGACCGGAATGATTCAAGTCCAAGGGAATCTGAATCCACTGCATGGAAACAGGGTCTGGGCGCTAAATGCTCAGCAGGTTTAAGAACTGCATCTGTGACAAGGAAACATCTGTTTTATGCGTGCGCAGGTTCTCATGCAAACATGCACTGGGTTTGAGTATGAATGTGTGTATGCAAGCATTGTGTGCGGGGTCAGTTTTGGTGTACAATTATAAGCGCTTGTGGATTGCACTGTGGGGAGAAAAGGTCAGCAACCTGATTTACGTTAGATCAGCCATCTGTTCGCTCAATAACGGGAACCTTTGTGCCACCTGTCTCTAGTCCTAATCTCCCTTTCTCTATCCTGACCCTGCACCAAATGTGGCAGGACCCATGTCAGCTCCAGCAGAGTTACAGCAGGGAGGAAATAAAGTTACTGGAAGAATAGAAAGCTTTTATGGAGCTCCATTAGGTTGTTACCGGTAGACATTATCATGTATGCAACAGCTGTGGTCTTCATTAATTACTTTAATTCATGTTTTCAGCTTTTACACAATGAATGTTCAAACTAATAATTCTTCAAAACAATATTTTCAAAATAGACATGTGTCACTATTTTTAACCAACATAATGGTACAATTAGCAGCAGAGTTCTTATCACTCTGATATAAATTAGGCTTAATGCTGAGAGGAATGGAGAAACGTATCCTGAGCCATCTCAAGATTATCAATCTTGGTTGGACTTCTTCTGTTCGAGTGTCCATCTTGTGGTGCTGTTCAGATATGATAAGCAATTAGTATCTTTCCTGGAGTAACTTGGCAGAGTAACTTTTACATTAGAAAGGTAATCGGGCTTTACATTTCCATTTACTTGGTTGGATTTCTCACCAAAATTTGAACATTTTATTGCGTATTGTTGGTAAGTCATTAGCTATCCACAAGCACTCCATACAATCCCACTTCACAAAATAAATAAATAAATGCAAGTTGTTGTACATGCTTGCTTTTTGGTTCAATAATTATTTTCTTTGAAATGAAAAGTCAATTTCCCTTTGGCTGGATTTTATTTAGATGACAAAGTGGCTGTGAAGTGACTAGCATTTCTTACTGCAATCATCTCTGTGGCAATATTTCCCAACAAAAGTATTTTTTGAGTGAGTGGTAAAAATGTCTCAAATGAGTTTAGTGTGAAATAGTGCTAATAACTAAAAAGGCAAGATGAATGTGCAATAAAACTAAGAATAGAAAGACGTGCCAAAGACTGTCAGGAGTAAAAAAAAGCAGCTGCATCCTTCTTGTGAAGAGCTCCTGACGCCCCACTCACCCAAAATTACATTTCTTCCCAGCCGTTGTGCTATCCACAGCTGTGACGGCTGCTGATTCCTTCAGCCCCCCCCCCACTGCACCCTCACACCAACCTAAAGCCATTGTTGATTTTATAAAATTTTCTGTCTCTGTTCCTCCATTTTTTTGTTCCTCCTTCCAAGCCCCTTTGTGAAACTGAAGGTTCTAAGCTGTGCCACTCATTCCATCTCCGCTCAGCGCAGCGCAGCGCAGCTTCCATTTAGGTCTCTCTCTTCCCTCTGGAGTCGGCTCTCTGACGCTCCAGAGATGGTTGGCTTGCCACACATAAATGCCCCTCTCTTTGATCACCCTCATTTTTTCTCCTGCAGCTGCCATCTGCAATATCCATCCTCTATTCCTCTAAACCCTTGTTGTGTCGTGTATGCCTTCCTTCTTTATGTGCGTGCATGTTCATTGAAATGCGGCATTGTAAGGTTGCTAATTAGGAACATGGAAGGACATTAGTTCGATTTGAGAGGAAGATGAGGTGAGAATTTGGGGTTGCTGACCAAGAACTGGCATCTCGGTTTTCTCTGCCATTCTATTTTAATCCAGTGTGGTTTGAGCCTCCCAAAGTCCTTTAATTACCAGCAGCTGCTAGGCATCCTCTGAATGCGAGAAGAATGAGATGGCAGAAGAAGGGGCGGTGGGACTGGAGGGGGGGATAAGAATGAGGAGAAAAGAATGTGAGAGAGGGGAGAGGGTGTTTGATGCTGCACACTCATCAGCCCACAAAACGGCGCTGCATTTTGATTGCAGCTCAAAGGGAACTCATCATCTTGAGCGCTCTTCAGCCGCAGTCCCGTGAATGTTTAGTTCAGCCTCCATCTGACCGCTGTCCAAAAAACATGGACTTATGCTGATGCTCCCGTTCTCCCCCTTGGCTTTTTTCTCCCTCTGCCTGCATCTTGTCACTATTGGATTAGCTGTCTAATCATGGCCAAAAGAAGCTTTTCCATCTAAGATTGTCCCACATCTCTGTTCTGTCTCTGTTCTCTTGACTTGCTCCCTTAATGCGAGAGAGTATGACTGGCTTTGTTCAGATTTGTCAGGATTAGCAGCAAGTCTGACTTCAGTCCAAGAGGGCTACAGTGTCGAGGTCAAAGGATACACAGCAGAGAGAGTTTGCCAAAAACAAATAAGTACATGATTATTTGTTGTGTTAAAAAAATTATATATACATGTTTGCCACACACACAAACTTGAGTTACAAGTTTATTGTAGTTTAATATGATGTCAGACTATATTTTGCACTTATAACAGCATCAGTTTTTTCTAGAAAGGCTTTTCACAACATTTAGGTGTGTGTTTATGGGAATTTTTGGTAATTTGTTCAAAACTGCTTTTGTAAGGTCAGACACTGATGTTGGATGAGAACAATTCACCTCTCTATCATTATAATCTTCTGTTAAACAAACTTCTTTCTTGATGCAGTGCAGGTATGGACCTACTAAACCCAGACTCATTCAACGGGTTGCCAGATAGACATCTCCAGTGCTCTGGACCCCATTGTTGACTTGTTTAACACACCTCACATTTTACTTTGTGGTGTGAGGCTTTGATACAGCAGCTTATGCACAGAAATCCATTGGATGAAGCCCCATACACACTCTTTCTATAGAAATATGGAGATACAGACTCTTAAAAATTGTACCAATCTGTAAACTATGCACCAGTTTGTGATTTAGATGATTTCATTTCCCCTTTGTTATAGTACTACTAATTAACTGTGGAATACTTAATTGCAAAAAACTTTCACATCTGGACCTTTTGGACAGGTGGCATCTGACCATGGTACCATGCAGGAATTCTTAGAGCTGTTTGGAGCAGTGACTCGTTCTTTCACAAATGTTTGTTCAGCTGTGGCCACTGAAGTGATCAGAATTGAATCTGTGAGCCAAAAACTGCTGGTAATACAGTATATGTGAAATCAGGTTGGCATGAGTGTGACAGCTTTGAGGTGTTGGTCTAGTATCTGCCAACAGAGTGAGTCAGCGTTTGAAGAATTTAAAAAAAAAATTCTGCTAAACTGTTTTTTTTTTTTTTTTTAACTGTTTCTTACATTTTATATGTCATCTTTAAAAAGTGTTGCTGGGGTCCTTCAGCTTACTGAAATTTCACCATTAAACAAACATCTTTATTTTGTTGTACTGCAGCTTTATTAGACAAAACCAACAAAAAGTAGATAAGAACATGAAACAAATACATATTTTTTGTTCTTTGCAGGTCTGCAAAATATGATGTGTGTATGTATAATTAGCCCAGTTTGATTTAGTTACAAAACCTTATAAGGAGCATTACTAACTTGCACATCAACACAACCTCAGCTTTTTTTGTAATGTGTGGCCACGGTTTCTAGTAAAAACAATAATTAAAAAGCAAAAAAAAGATGAAATTCTGTAAAACGAGGCTGGATGAGGACTCACAATTTGTCTCCATAACAACCATCTATGTCAAGGTTTTTGATGCCTTCGCAGGGATGCCAACAACTTTGGAGCTTGTCATACATTGACATATTTCCTTTTTCACAAATTATACACTTTTACTATCAGAAATCCTAAATGTATGCCAAAGAGGTAACATTGTCACCTTAAATCTAGTAAAACATAAAAAATCTGCATGAATAAATGTAGAAAATATTTTGATCATA